GGCAATGTGGGTTTAGGGTTGGGGTTCGGGGTATAGTGGCGCAAGCAGCGACTCAGGGTTTATGGTCGACGGTCAACGTTTCAGCGTTTAGGGTTCAGGGTGTAGGGTTCAAGGAGGATAAGCAGCTCCGAGCGATAACCCTGACAAAGTGCGCTGGAACCCAAACCCGACGACCCTAAGCCCGAAAGTTTTGCGCCCCAAGCCCCAAACCCCAATTAAGCTCGAGCCCCAAACCCCAAACCCAGCTGAGGTGCGGTTTAGGGTTTAGGGTTTAATATAACCTGATTAAGAAACCCTGGGCCTATAAGCCCAAACTAGCAGGATTCATATAAGGCACCCTAATAAAGGCCAAAGGTTTCTTAATCAGGTTCCTACATTAGGGTGTAGGGTTTAGGGCCCCGCAGTACTTAGAGGTTCATGGTACTTAGTAACTAGGGTTATAAACAAGGTAACTGTACGTATAGTTGGTTATATCCCCAGTTAAGGTACTTATAACTGTACTTCTTAAGTCCCATGAACCTCCAAGTATACCCTGAACCCTAAATCACGATAGATCCCTTATAGAACCCTTTAATTAAAGACACCCTTAAGGAACCCCTTAAGTTACTAATTCTCATGAACCTCCAAGTAGAGCCATAAGTCCCCTAATGTGGGTTATAAGCACAGTTACCCTACTTATAACTCTCCTTATAACCTCCAAGTAGGGCCCCGCAGTAGAACCTCTCCCTTAACCCTAAACCCTAAACTACTATTGCTACCCTATTACTACCGTTCTTCCATTCCCTACTAACCAAAGGTAAGCTACAGGATTACTGAGGCCCCTATATCATAGTACCCTTGTTGATCCCTTATAGGAACCCTTATAGACCCCTTTATAAGGCCCCTTTCCCTGCTAACCAAAGGTAAGAGTAGAGCCTGGAGAGGTCTACAAGATTCCGGTGCTCAAGTTGGAGGAACTCTGGAGGCGCCTTTGCCCCCCCCCCCCAAAAAAACCCTCCGAAATCTCCTGGAGGTACGGATCCCTTAAAAGCTCCTGTAGGGTTTAGGATTTAGGGTTCGGGATTTAGGATTTAGGGTTTAGGGGGGGGGGACTTTAAGTTTTTTGGCCTTATGTATTAGCTCTACATTAGAAAGCTCGAACATGTTCGAACTTTTTGGGCCCCGGTTGTTGAAGAAGAGAGCTAGGGCTTCCTATTTGGGATGTCGGGTTCATGGTTTGGGTTTAGGGTTCAGGTTTGGGATTCGGGGTTGGTTTGGGGATTTCGTGTTAATGCGGGATTGGGTATTTTGGGGGTGGGGATTTCGGGTTTGGTTTCCCGTTGGGCATTGAGGCTTCATAGTGTGGGATCTCGAGTTGCAGGTTAATCCTAAACCCTGAGCTTGGGAAGCTGACCCTACATTCTGCAGCTGCAAGCCGCCCTGAACCCTCAACTTGACACACGAAGCTCCACTCGAGGGGAAGCCAGCTCTAACGAAAATATCCCAACGTGCCGACCCTAAATGCTAAGCCTTAAACCCTAAACCCTAAACCGCCCTGAACCCTAAAACCTACAGCCCATAGACCCTAATCCTAAAGCCCGAACCCTGCCCTCGAACTCAGAAAGCTCCATGCCCAGGGCGTGGGGGTATACAGTAGTAGGGTTAAGGGCTCTGGCTTAGTGGTTTAGGGCTTAGGGTTTTTGGGCTTCGAGATTCAGGGCATATGTCTGGATGTGAGACTGAAGCTCTACCAGAAGTCTCAGCCCCAATCTCAAATTTTCGCCGAGTCGTGGATGGGTATAGAATCAACTCGAGTGCATCCCTGAACCCGATACGTTGAAAACCCCCAACCCCTGGAAACTCAAACGATAGAACCGTAAAGAACCCTCTTACAGTGCTCATCTAACCCTTTACGGAGTCCGTATATGCGCCCCTATCAAGCATCCAAAACGCCTTTAGTGAACTCTGAACCCTCAACCTTAGACCCTGAACCCTTCATCAGTCATCAGTAACACATTTTGTTACAATTTCTTAGAATATTACAATAGCTAATTGCTCTATTAAAAAGAATTCATGACTAAACCTAAACCCCGAACCCTTAACCTCCCCTTTTGCAGGGCAAAGACGAAGGAGCGCTTGGACAAGGTGCTCGAGGAGCGCTGTTGCGGGTGTATGCCAGGGTTCAGGGTTAGGGGTTTAAGGATTTAGGAATTTAGGGCTTAGGGCTTTGGGTTTAGGGCTTAGGGTTTAGGGTATAGGCTTTAGAGCTTAGGGTTTGGGGCTTGGGGTTCAGGGTTTCGGGTTTCGGGTGTATTGCAGGATTTAGGGCCTTTAGGGTTTAGGGGTTTAGGATGGCAGCTTGTGGGGTTCACCCAACCCGATGCCCCACCAGGAACCCCCAAGTGCCCTTCACGGAGCCCTTCATAGTGGGTATTTGAAGTAGACTTTTAAACCCTAAACCCTGAACACTAAAACCGAAACCCTAAACCCGAAACCCAAAGGCCTAAACCCGAAACCCTAAGCGCTAAAACCGAAACCCCAAACCCCAAACCGAAAGGGTAGTCTACACTCCAAGGGGCTCCGACACTCCAGTCCAGAGCAACATTGGAAGACGCACGTTTTAGGGTTTAGGGCTTTGTTTGTTTGGCGTGTTGCTTGAGTCAGAAAAAGGCATTCAAAAATCGCACGGCTTTGGGTTTAGATGTTAGGGCTTAGGGTTGTTAGAGGTTTTTCTCAGAATCTCGTAGGATATTGCATGGGTGTCGTAGGGTTTCTTGACATTGTAGGACGGGGCGGTGATACAAGGCTTCAAAGGGTTGTATGGTTTAGGCTGGAGGGTTTTTGGGTGGATTTTTCGTGTATGGTAGCTCATGGGGCTAGGAGAGGTCAAGATAGGGCAGGGCTCTTGTCTCGGCGCAGGGTCGTGGTCCCCGGTATACTTTAATTAGCTCGCTTAATTTTGTTATAAACACTATGAGGTGATCCTAAGACCTTATAAGACCCCTGATCAAGCTCTTCTGATTGAAACAACACCTATCAGAACCCTTCCAAATCCCAGTAGAATCCTTCCACGGCCCTCTGAAAAAGGCTGTATAGCACCCTCTACAGCTTTTTCAAACCCCTGTGCAGCATTAAACCCTGAACCCTACAGGCCAAGCGTGCGGCGGCCAAGAAGGAAGCCCTTCAACAGCCCATGGTGGAGGAGACGTTTAGGTCCCTTTGAGGGTTCCTTTCTTCCTTTACGGCTGCCCTTAAGGGCTCCTTTCAGATATCCGATATCCAAAAAGAAACCCTTTAACGGTCTAGGTTTCAAGCTATAGAGTTTAAAGCAGTTGGTTCCTTTAAGGGTTCCAGAGCCTGTAAGGGCATAGCCTGGTGTGAAGGGAATTATAATAGTACACGCATCTATGGGCTTGGAGGCACAGCAGGCTATGCATAGGATTCAGGGTTTTGTTGGCATGGCTCCAGAAGCCCTACACCCTAAACCCCAAAACGTAAACTAGGGTTCAGAACTCGGTTGTGTTGGTCTTGGGGTTGATGGTTTAGCCCTGTCGCCTGAACGATGGAGGCGCAAAACGGAATATACCTTAGATCTCCTTTAGGAATCCTACTACGATCTATGTAAGGTGTATTCCGTAATTAAGGGGTATTGGAGTCTCTGGGTAACTTGCAGGCTTGAGTAACCTAGAGGGTCCGTATATATACTACCAGTATGGAATTAGGTCCCGCCAGACCATCCCCGGTATGGTTTTTGGGGCCGAATTCCAAAATAGTAGTGTATATGGACCTCTCGGTAATGAGCAACATTGTTCCTATTGGGACGCGCTAGCTCCCCGAGTTGGTCCGACGGTTCGTTTCTTGGATTCAGTATAGGCGCCTTAATAATGAGAATAGGGTTTGGGGTCCATTTTACTATAGTTATAATACGGAACCCTTAAAATAGAATTGCTAATTATTAAAACCCTAAACCTTAAACCCTAAAATAGAATTGCTAATTATTGAGGCCCCTATATTAGAGCATTTCTGGTTTCAGCGGCGTGTGCGGCGACCCGAAACCCCAAACCCCAAACCGCGAAGGCTTCTCAGCCTCATGATACAGGTGGATCCTTTTTATTGTTAGGAATTCTGTACTTTTGCTTGGGCTATGGTCAAACTCTAAGGGATCATTAAACGTGCCGTTGCTGTTTTGGTTCTTCTAAGGGCGCAAGGATCTAGGTTTCCCAAGCTGGATGTACAGGCGCCCACTATGCGAAACCACACATTCAAGACCGAGAGCGTAGCAGCCTCAGGAGGCCCCTAAACACTCAATCCTACAGCCTCAACCTAAACCCATCACCGAAAAGTAAAAGACAAAGATTCGCGGACCATGAGCAGCCCAGCTCACAACCCTAGGTTCTTTACCCCTCCTCTCCTATCTAGTCCCTTGAACCGCCCTCTACGGGCCCAAAGGGCTTTAAAACAAACCCTAGCAAAGCCACTCCACTTTCATCTTACCTTTGGTTAGTAGGGAATGGAGGAACGGGGTACAATTTTTCACTACTATTACTACCATTCTTCCATTCCCTGCTAACCAAAGGTAAGCTATAGGATTACTAAGGCCCCTTTTTTATAGTACCCTTTTTGATCCCTTTTTGGAACCCTTTTTGACCCCTTTATAGGGCCCCTTTCCCTACTAACCCAAGGTAAGTCATCCTATAGTACCCTTGTAGATCCCTTGTGGTCCCTTAAAGACCCTTTAGAGGAGCCCTGCCCAGGCGGCTTACCAATTCTTCACAAAGGTAAGTCCTAGAACCCTAAACCCTATAGATCCCTTAAAGGATCCTTTTAAAGGAACCTATTACTACCATTCTTCCATTCCCTACTAACCAAAGGTAAGCTATAGGATTACTAAGGCCCCTATATCATAGTACCCTTATAGATCCCTTATAGGAACCCTTATAGACCCCTTTATAAGGCCCCTTTCCCTTTCTCACCAAAGGTAAGTCCTAGAACCCTTCGACCGCGTCGAAAGCGGTCGCGCCATGGCTGCCGCAGAGGGCGGAGCCGAAACGCCGCCTCTGCCAGTGCGGAAGCTAAATGGCGTGGGCCTAAGAGTCCTTGAGGGGTTCTATAAGGGTTGCTATAGGGGACCTATAAGGGTAGCATAAAATAGGGGCCTTAATAATCCTATATCTAAAGTAAAAGCCAGAAAGTTGGAATATGATTATCCTAACCCTTCTATGGTACATTATAGGGTATCCTACCATGAAACCATATTCCAACTTTCTGGAGTTTCCTATAAGAGTCCTTGAAGGGTTCGATTAAGGGCCTAAAAGGCCCTAAACCCTAAACCCTGAAACCCTAAACCCTAAACTGCTATAAGGGTTACTAGACAGGTGGCTTAGGGTTTTGGAGGTTTGGGGTTTAGGGGTTTGGGGGGCTCAGGGTTAGGTGGGGTTGGTTTAGGGGTGCAGGGGTTTGTGGACTTAATCGCTTCACCACTTTGGTAGTCACACCCCTTTGAAACGTCCACCCTGAAAACATCCCGGCCATTATTGAAATATCTTTTGGATGAAGGGGTTCAGGAGCAACAGCAGGAGCAAGAACAAGAGCGAGAGCAAGAGTAGGAGCAGAAGCAACAGCAACAACAGGAGCCAGAGCAAGAGCATCAACAGCAAGAGCAGGAGCGAGAGCAGAAGCAGGAGCAAGAGCATGAACAAGTGCAACTGCAAGAGCAGGAGCAAGCGCAGGGGCATGAGCAAGAGCAGGAGCTAGAGCAAGAGCAAAAGCAGGAGCAAGAGCAAGCAGGAGCAAGAGCAAGCAGGAGCAAGAGCAGGAGCGCGGGCAGGAGCATAAACAACTGCAGGTGCAACGGCAAGAGCAGGCGCAGGAGCAAGATGCAGCAAAAGTGAGAACGGAGACAAAAAAGAAAGCTGTCCGAATACTGACACACACGCTCTTCGAGTTTCTGTTGCGGGAGTGGCGGGGGCCATTTGAAGGGAGGAGGGTGGGATCAGGGGGTAAAGGTTATGACGCTGCCGGGCCTGTTTTGAAAAGGGTTTAGGATCCGCCTTGATAAAGGGGGCACCTGGTACAGGTTTCGAAGGTCAATTCGCAGGGATCTGCAGGGTTTACAGGCATACCCTAAGCCCTAAGCCCTAAACCCTAAACCCCTAATCCCCTAAACCCTAAACCCTAAGCCCTAAACCCGAAACCCTAAACCCCTAATCCCCTAAACCCTAAACCCTAAGCCCTAAACCCGAAACCCTAAACTCTGAACCGAGAGTCGAGAGACATCAGAGCTCTGCGCCCAGCAAAACAACGCCGAGAAGCGAGGCTTCGAGTTTCCTTTCAAGGGTTCTATAAGGGATCTTTATAGGGTTTAAGGTTTAGAAATTCTAGGGTTTAGGGTTTAGGGTTTAGGGTTTAGAAATTATAGGGGCGTTAATATTATGATTGAAGGTCTAGCCCTTAATTAACGGGTATTTGGGGGGATCTCTGGGCCAAGTAAACATTCAGAGCTGCATTGGTTTTAAGCCCTGCACGCTGAGCCCCTTCAGCTCTATTCCCGATACCCTAATTACGTGTGCTCTAAACAAGTGCCAGAAAATCGGACAGGAGACACAAAGCTCGAAAACGCTCTACCAGCTCAGCTTGTTCTAACACAATCAAGACAGCCGCCTCAATTCCTGTTGTCCTGCTGACAACGTATAAAGCCCTGTCGCAACCTGTCTAACCTTCTGGAGTACCCTGTTGGGTCCATTTCAACCCTGAGCTCTAAACTAAACCCTTTGTCGCTAACTTTTGCTCCCGGTTCCAGGCGAGGTGATCTGCCAAATTCATGCGGACCCCTCCGCACCAGTGGAGGAGCTGAAAAGACGCGAAGCTTCCGAAGAGGATTTAGGGTTTAGGGCTTGGGGTTCAGCTTTTCGGATTTTGAGGCGTAGGGTGTGGGATTTAGGCTTTGTGGTTTTGGGGTTTAGGCTTAAGGGTTGAAAGTTTAGGACTTGGACAGTAGGGTTCCTTTTTCTGTTGGAGTGCTTAGAGCTATGCTAGCCCCACAAACTCTATCCCAACTACTCAGGTCCCCATATTATTGTACCCTTATAGATCCCTTATAGGACTCCTTTAAGGAACTAGTAAGGTCCCTATAAAAAATCCTATAAGAGTCGTTTAACCCCTCAACCCTCAGACCCACGAAGTTTAGATTTCACGGTTCTCCGCCGTGTGCATGTGCACACTAATGCGAGGACGATCCCCCAGGGCTCCTCCAATTGCTGTGGTTATCTACACCAAAATGTGGCCCCTATATCAGAAAATGTAAGCATCTGCTGTGCAGGGCGGCTTAGGGCTTAGGGTTCAGGCCATCGGGTTTCTCTTTCAGACACTAAGCCCAGTTAAATCGTTCTTACACCGCAAGCGACCAAGGATTCATAGCATGCAGTTTTGTCTAGGATTTTCGTCTTCGGTGCCCTAACGGCACGGAACAACACATCCAACACTAGAACATGCAGACCACGAATATGCCGTCTGCTGAGGAATATCGGAGTTCCTTCCATTGTATTCGTCTTATTTCGTTTTCATCAGGACTGAGGCCTTAAATTTTGGGGGTTCCTTAATATTTTTATAGTATTATGAGCCCCAAGCCCTATTCTAATTATCAGGACCCCACTATTGAGGCTTTATGCTGCCTAGAATCTCGAGCCCCTTCGCTTCTCCATCGCCCAGATGTCGATCTTTCCTCCTACTAAACCCCTGCTTTTTGGGGGCTCTTATTATCAACCCGAATATCGACTTTACAGGGAACCTAGAAAAAAGGACAGGTTAAGGATGCATCCGCTGTAGACCATGAGCCTCGACTGTGTGTTTGTTAGATGGGTGGTTGTCAATATTATGGTCCCTTGTGGGGTGCCTTAAATATTAGGTGCCGTATTATAATAAAGGCCTATTACTATTACTATTACTATACTATTGCTTATTATTATTATTTTTACTAGTATTATTACTATTATTAACTAAAGAGGGACCCTAACATTGAGAACCACCCAGATGGAGGCTTCTGATGACGGGCTCGGGACAGAACCCCTTAAGCATAAGTCCCGAAGTTCAAAGTCCGGGGGTCTAGGGTTTTAGGGTTAGGGTTTTAGGGTTTAGGGTTTAGGGTTTAGGGTTTAGGGTTTAGGGGTTTAGGGGTTTAGGGGTTTAGGGTTTAGGGTTTAGGGTTTAGGGTTTTAGGGTGTGCTGCAGGGCTCAGGGTTTAGGACTCTGAACCCGAAGCCTTAAGCCCCAAATCTTACTTAAACGTTCCGAAGCTCCAAAATTTCTGAGCTCGGCTGGTAATCCTGCTCAGTAACCCAACGCCTGAAGCCTGTGCTAGGCCCTAACCTGTTATGGAACCCTTGAAAGGAAGGAACCCTCAACTCCGAGCTCTCAATCGCCTGAGAGTACCTAATACTATTTTGGTGGTTCCTTATCATAGCTATAACTATAGGGTAATGGGCCACAAAACCCTATTAAAATCCTTGAGGCCCCCTATATTATAGTACCCTACTACTATAGATCCCTCATCGCAACCCTCATAGACCCCTTCAAAGGAACCCTATTCCAATTATCAAGGCCCTATAGCATTTTTGGTGGCTCGTTTTGAGAATCTCAGGAGAGGTCCACACGGCCACCTGCATTCCTGTCGGCTTCTTTAGCCTCCTGAAGAGTGAGGATGGAGTGCCTTCGACTCACAAGCTCTGGTGAGGTTTCAAAAAGGATGATCAGAAGCTCTAATGGGGTTTCTATAAGGATGATTAGAAGCTCTAATGAGGTTTCTAAAGGCAGTATTACAAGCTCTAATGAGGTTTCTGTAAGGATTATTATGAGGGTCTTTCAGGGTTTACAAAGGGCTGAATCGCTTGAGCGAGTTTTGTTATCATGGGCTTCGTAGTGAGCGTGTTGTAGGGGTGTGTCTTAGGGTTCTACAAAGGTCTTATGAAGGTTTGGTGTCTTTGGGATTTTGGGGGAATTGGTGAAGTTTTGGGGTTCGGGACTTCGGATGGGTCGGGCTTGTGACTCTTAGGCAAGCCGCGCTTCGAGATCTTCATAAGGGGTTTAGGGCTTCGAGGTTAGCGTTTGGAATTTGGGGCTTAGGGGTTTAGGGCTCAGGACCTTAGGATGGACCCGATCCCCCGATAGAGCAGTCGCTCTAAACTTGATCTGCACTCCTCTGTAACAAGGAACCACCTCCAGCCTACCCAGCGAAACCAATGCCCCTTAATTAAGGAATGTAACTTAAATTATAGAGGCCTGAATATTATGTTGTAAGGTATATGTCCCAATTAAGGAGTATTGGGATTTCTGGGTGCATGCTAAGAAGTCCCTGGAACCTCTACGTAACGCTGAGGCCTAATGTAGGAACCTTCCGAAGAAACCCTGACCCCAGAACCCCAAACATTAGGATCCGCATACAGAAGCCGATTATAAAGACCCAGCGTTTCTTAAACAGTTTCCTATATTAGGTCATTGGTTCCATGCCAAACCCTGGACCCAGAGATCCCAGCAGCCCTCAATTAAGGAGTAGACCTTAACTCATAATATTAAGGCCTCTTTAATTTACGGTATATCTCTTAATAATTGGGCATTGGGTTCTGTGGTTTAAGTCACTGGTTCCATGCCAAACCCTGAACACCTTTAGTCATCACTCCCTACTGGACGCTACGGTAGCCTTTCAGGCACACAACAGTTTCGCCCAAAACCCTAAAATTCGGTCCTTGTCAAACATTTCTCGTCTTTGGGCCGCCTCACCGGGGGTTACGGAATCTAAGCCGCATACGTTAGGCTTTGCAGTTTCAAGTGCCTGACTCCAAGGCTCTGCAGGTAGCCGGAGACCCCAATGTATCCTTGAATCAAGCAGTATCGCTGACATGATAAACGGATCCCTCTGCAAGTGAAGAGAGATTTCCCACTCTAAGGGGTGTTGACAGATCCTTCAAACCTCCGGCCAAGTTAGCATACCTCTGTGGAAGGCCAGCAGGCCCGACAAACGCTTGCGATAACGCTGCGAACTTGTAGCAATCCCTTGTCTAAGTTTATGTAAACCCAAACCCCCTATACACCCCAAAAGGTTGGAAACCGGATTAAGGACAATTAGTGCTGGGATTCCCTTTACATTACTCTTAAGGACTGAGGCTGTTGGGTTTCCAACTTTTGGGCTTCTATTGGGCTACCTACCCCCTACGGTTGATGATATATATCCTGCATTACCCCCAGTGAGGAATAGACCAAACTTCCCATAGTTTCGGGTCCTTAGTGCAGGATTTATATCATGAACGGCAATAGAATTGGGCTTGCAGGTATGTTCTACTATAGTTATCGTAAGGACCCCCGAAACCCTATTGCAATTATCACCTAAACCCTAAACCCCTGATACCTAAGCCGCTAGTGCCCTGAACAGTTGACCATCGTCTTGGAGAGTGACCGACCTTGGGACAAGCTTTTCGTGGATGCATGCACGTTTGGAGATGTGCGTCCTGGCTTGGGAATTTAGGGTTTTAGAGCTTAGGGTTTAGGGTTTAGGGGAGGTTCAAGGTTTAGGGCTTTTAGGGTTTCGGGTTTTTAAGGGTTTTTCGTTGCTACATATGGGTCCTAGAGCAGATTCTAGGGGTGACTGGGGTTAGGGTTTAGGGTTTAGGGGTTTAGGGTTTAGGGTTTAGGGATGGTTTCTATTGCGAGTTTCAGGTTTTTTGCTTCTATGAGGGGCTTCTACGGGTTGTTATAAGGTCGTGGGGGACTTCAGGGGTTTCTAGAAACTGTGGGTTCTAGAAGGGGTTCATTCAGGCTTGAGGCTCAGGGTTTCGAAGGTTCAGGGCTTGGGTGTGGATGGGGGGTTCCTAGTTCAGAGTTTCTCAGAAAACGGCACACCTCGAGCCCAAACAGTCGAGGCGCCGGGACTCCGTGACTGGGGTTCGGCGGTGTAGGGTTTAGGGTTTAGGGTTTAGGGGTTTAGGGTTTAGGGTTTAGGGGTTTAGGGTTTAGGGGTTTAGGGTTTAGGGTTTAGGGTTCAAGCCTGTCGGGTTGAGGAATATTCCTCTACCCTTCGGAAGCCCTAAACCCCAAACCCTAAAGCGCCCTAAACCCCACATATTATGCTCGAAGACTTTCCTTTCGCTCGTGTTGTTCACTGCTAGGATACGTTGCTGGTTCTAGGATTCGGTTTCAGGGTTTAGGGTTCGCTTCAGGGTGTAAGCTTTAGGGCTAGTGATTCTCCTTGCTTGTCGGGCTTTTGGGGTTCAGGGACTAAGGGGGTTTGGATGTGCATCCTCCTTGCCTGTGACTGGAAGTTCAGTCAGGACCTCGCGAAGCCGAGAATTTGAAGCCTCAGAGCCCAGACTGAACCCTCTCCGTGATCAAAAGTACCTTGTCAAGGAGCCCGAATATCATGGAACTGTCGTACATTCGTGGAGCGAAGCCTCTCGACCCAATCCCTACGGTTTTCTGATTTGCCCTACACAAGAAACCCTAAACGCTAGGGTGCGACAGAGGCCGCTGATCCAGTCCACACTACCGCTGCTCCCATCGACGCTTTGTGAGGAGAAGCAAGGCCCCTCCCCACAGCTGCTCTAAACTCCTGCCTTTGGTTAGTAGGCTAGGATGCCCAGTAGTACCCTTATTCCCCTTTTTGTAGTCCTAGGTTCCTTATAAAGTTACCCAATACCAAAAAGAGTGGCCTTTTTATTCTTAGGTTACTGGGTATCCTAGTAGGGAATGAAGGAATGGGGTACAACTATATCTAGAAGTACTACCACTCTTCCATTCCTACTAACCAAAGGTAAGAGCAGTAGTGTTCTTAGCACTTACTGTCTGTTCTGCTTGAAGACCTCCCGGGGTTCCTTGAAAGGGGTCTATAAGGGCTATTACAAACAAATTGTATATTCCTTATTACAAGTAAAAATGGCCCCAAAAGCCGATTCTAAATAGTAAAGCCTCTACATTATTGTGCTTAGAACTTAGTTTTTGCTCCTACTTGAATAATATATAGAACCAAAGGGATTATGATCAATTTGTAATTGCTTGTTTGGTTCAAAGGGCACTTAAGTAAGATCCCTACGTAGATTCCCAAAACTTAACCCTACTACAACGGTAGCAGTCGCAGTAGGAGTCAGAGCAGGAGGAGGAGTAGTAGTAGTAGTAGTATTAGTAGTTGTAGTAGTAGTAGTAGTAGTAGTAGTAGTAGTAGTAGTAGTAGTAGTAGTAGTAGTAGTAGTAGTAGTAGTAGTTGTTGTAGTTGTTGTAGTAGTAGTAGTAGTAGTAGTAGTAGTAGTAGTAGTCGTCGTCGTGGTGGTGGTAGCAGCAGCAGTAGCAGTAGCGGTAGCAGTAGCAGTGGCAGTGGCAGTGGCAGTAGCAGTAGCAGTAGCAGCAGCAGCAGCAGCAGCAGCAGCAGCAGCAGCACCAGCAGCAGCGGCAGCAGTAGCAAAAGGTTGCACCTCTTCATGTGGCTGTTACATATGCTACTGCAGGAGTGGTCGTCTCGTCGTCGTCGCCGACAGTAAAGACTTCACTGTAGGGGCCTTAATAATTACCAACATTATTTCGGTGGTTTCTGGGTATAACTGCAGTATATAATGGGCCCCAAAACCCTATTCTAATTTTCAAGGCCCCAACTTGGTATGGACCCCTTGCCAGCGGAATCTCCTGTGAGGCCTTCTGCTGGCCATTCTGAAGAAATGGACGCGCGTGGTGGAGCTGCTCCTCGAGAAAGGCATCAGGGCTTTGGGCTTAATTGCGGCTTAATACAGGGGATTTCATATCTACCTATATTATTTTACGGGTTCCTGATAATAGTTATAGTATGGTGGGCCCAAAATCCCGTTCTAATCATTAAAGCCCCTACATTAGTGTCTGGTGTGGAGCGTCTGGTCGGATGTCAGTTAAGTCGGAAACTCAAGGCCCCAAGCCGGATCCTAGTTCCCAGACCCATCTCTGTCTTGCAAGCTCATGCCCACGAAATCAACTTGATTCCCAAGCCGTCAACCCAAAATCATGCAAAGTCTGAAGCTATGAATCCCATGCTCACGGAGCCCAAGACCACTTCATGCGGAAAGAAACAGAAGACGAGAAAGAAAAGATCAAGAAGCTGAAGAAGCAGGTTAAAGACCTGAAAAGGGGAAGGTCCCCCATCTCTTCGAGCTCATCGAGCAGCTCCTCGTCGGAGTCATTCGCCGATCAGCCGGCGAACAAACGTCGTCGGGCCGAGAGGGCCATCTGGAATCAGGCCCACCGACAAGTGCGAAGCAGCTCCTCGTGGGAAGGGTTGCCGGCACAGCAAGGGGGCGGCGCTCAGGGTCGTAATCTAGGATGCCCAGTAGTACCCTTATTCCCTTTTTAGTCCTAGGTTCCTTACAAAGTTACCCAATACCAAAAAGAGAGGCCTTTTTATTCTTAGGTTACTGGGTATCCTAGTAATCGTCCTGGCAAAGGCCAGATCAGCAGCAAAACCAAGGCGGCGGCTCTTGGTCTGGATGGCGTTCTCAGCAGCAGCAGGGCCAGCAATGTGAAAGCTGGGGCAGTGGCCAAGGCCAGCAATATCAAAGCTTGGATCCGTGGCGGCCGTGGCCGTGGTAGTCATCATAAGTACACAAGGCCTTGTCAAGAAAGCTATGAACACCTACGAATTTAGTAAAACTGCTTACAAACCCCTACATCACTTCACCAGCATATCATACCCTGTGTATTTCGCTATAGTGCTTCTGCACCACCCTGTGGGGTACTCGAGCCGGGGTCGCCAAAACCATTGCGAGCCACCCAAAGGCTTAGGGGGCTTGGGGACCTGTGGTTTCAGGCTTCAGCACCCAGAGACTCCAATACCCTTTAATTAAGGAATATACCTTAAATTATAGTAGGATCCTTAATATGAATTAAGGAATATACCTTAAAGTATAGTAGGATCCTTAATATGAATTAAGGAAGATTCCTTAATTAAGGGGCATTAGAATTCCCTAAATCCTAAACCCTAGGATCCCTTTAAAGGAACCCTAGGCATTCCTTAATGAAGGGGCATTGGAGTCTCTGGGGCAGCTTAAGGGTTCAGGGTCTTCGGGTCTTGGGGCATTGGAGATTGACGTTTTTTGGGGTTTTTGGAGTACGGGTTTTGGGGGCTTCAGCGGCTTAAGGGTTTAGGGGCTTCGGCCCTGGGGATGTTTAGGGTTTAGGGTTTAGGGTTTAGGGGATTGACGTCTTTGGGGTTTTGGAGTACGGGTTTTGGGCTCAGGGCCCTGCACCCTAGCCTGCTTAGCGGTCTTAGGACCAAGGCCTAAGCTCAAAGCGCCCTGACGGGATCGATCCTCAGCCGTAGGAGGATTTAAAAGGAAGTACTCGGGCTCGGGTTTGGGGGTTTAGGGTTTAGGGGTTCAGGGTTTTGGGGGTTTAGGGTTTAGGGGGTTTAGGGTTTAGGGGTTTAGGGTTTAGGGTTTAGGATTCGGGGGTTGTATTTAGGATAGGTTCAGGCTTTGCGGGCCGAAGGGTTGGGGTTTAGGGTTTACTCATAAGGTTTAGGGTAACTCATATGGGAGTTTCCGAAAACTAGGGGTACGTTATTTTGGGGTCCTGATAATAAGTATCCTACTATTCAGGGTACTATAGTAGGGTCCCCCCATTTTCGGAAACTACCATATTCCTGAGCCGAGACTTTGCAAGACCTCGACCCCGAATGGCTGAATGACGTGGAAATCTTCCCATAATTGAAATCTTGGACCCACAACTTGGCCTTCAGCCGTAAGGCATCATGAATCCTAACCCAAATCAAAACCCTCAGTGACATTCCCAAACCCAAGGCTCTAAACCCCAAAGCCTCCCGGAAGGTGTGAGCGCGAACCTTGAGATGAATGATGTAGGACGGCGGTGAGGGTTTGGGGTGATGTAGGCTAAACTTGTGACTAGTGGGACCCTTCAAAGCTTGAAGGTTCACGGTTGTTACCTGCTCGGCCAAGCGCGCCTTAATTGGATGAAGGATCAGAGGACGAAGTATGTTGTCTCTCACAGTCTTCTCAACTGATAGGGTAGGATGATGCCAGCCCGACAACTCTACCCAGGCCCTCAAGACTCCCAAGCGCGCTATAGTCCAGGAATCTAGAAGCATTCTTGGTATGATTCCTGATAGGAGCCTTTAATTCTAGAGGCATGCTCAGTATGATTTCTGGTGTATTCCTTACTTTGGAGTCTTGGAGTCTCTGTGGACCCAAAACTCCGCATAGAGCCCGTTTAGAAATCCTAGAATCGTCCTAGAACTCTAGACTCACAGCCCTAAGCCCAAAAACCAGACCCTAAACCGACATATTGTGGAATTGCAAACCCCAAACCCAGCACCCTTTCTCGGGATGGATTTTGAGTTATAATCGAGAATGATGCAACCTTGTGAGCTCACAGGAGAACCGTGTAACACGACTATAGACTATAGAACCCGAGACCCCAAATCCCAAACCGTAAATGCTTTGAACCCCAAGCCCAAAATACCGGGTCTGAATACTAGTCATTGCTCTTTATCCCTGGGTTTCCTGTTTGTTGTGTACACATGTAGATGAATCAACTAATATTGTTTTAGAGCTCCGCGTGTATATGTATATACATCCATTCGAATTACTACGAGCCTAAACCCTAAACCCTAAACCCTAAGCCCTCACAGAGCCTTCGACCCCCCAACACGCAGCCCTGCATCAATTCTTTCGGGACCCGGAACCATAAACCTTAAACCTCGTAGCCCGAAGCCTTCAACCAAACCCCAGAATCTCAAGACCCTCAACGTCATAACCCTAAATCCCAAAACCCCCTAAACCCTAAGCCTCATAGATACCAAATTCCTAAACCAAAGCCAAGAAAGCTTCGGAGGACTCCGGCCTCTGCACCTTTGTGCACGAACAGGGGATGCCGAGACCCTCCGTGCCTTGTTGCCTTGATGGGGTCGTTGATGTATTTTTCCCCAGAGATCCCAATAGCCCATCATTAAGGAATATACTGTAAATCATAATATTAAGCCCCACATTCCTTAATTAAGGGGTATTGGGTTCTCTGGGTCATTGGTTTGCTTACACGCTTTCATGGCGTCTTACACGGTTTCCGTACGATCTGAATGTTTTGCTGCCAGCAAAATAGGTTTCGTTTGTTTTCACAAGTTTTCCCAGTTTTTAGAGGGTGTTACAGGGTTTTCTGGGGCTTCGCAGGGCTCTCTTCTAGGGTCCTGCGAGGCGTTTATAGAGTTTCATGGGATTTCATCAGGTATCAAAGGGGCTCACCGGGCTTTGTCGGGTGTTTTGAGGATTCGCGGGCCAGGGTGTTTATATTAGAAGCTGCCCCCACCCTGTAATAGTGGTATAATAGGAATATAATAGGGCCCTAATATAATATTACTATAATCCTTATGGTCCCTATTACAGGGTGGGGGCAGCTTCTAATGTTTATAGTATTTTGGGAGGATTTGGAGGGCTTTTGGTGCTTCGGGTTGGCAAGAGTTTAGCTGGGTTGTCCTTTGGGATCTTTTTTAATTTCCCCTACTATTTTGTAGAGAACCATAATAGTAAATAATTTTCAAGGGGCTTAAGGACAACTCAGTTAGTTATCGTTCTATCGGTAAAGCCGCCTATATTCTGGTGGATGCTCCATTAGGTCTTCAGTTGCATGTAGCCTGACTTTGGGATGTACCTGGACTTCTATAACTGTTTAAGGCTTCTCAGTCTCTTTGTCGAAAGCAGCCAGTTAGAGTGATGATGTTCACCGTAAGGTTTCGGGGCTTAGGGTTTAGGGTTGAAGCCCCCTTCCTTTCCCTAACATGCCCTAAGCCATAGGCTGCCCTACGGACAAACCGATACCCATAGACTCTGTAAAGACAAACCTTCTTGATTGATGAGACGTCTACAGCCGTACGGCTCCCGGCAACACCTGAACCAGAAATCCACTGAGGTGTGCTTCTCCGTGGCAAGGCCGATGTAGATGCAGCCAACGAGGACACCTACGCCGTAAAACCCCCTAAGCCGTAAACCCTAAACCCCCGAGACCCAACCCCGGAAGCAAAACCCTGAAACCTCAAATGTAGAATAGGATAGTATAGCTAGGAAGCTTATAAGAGGCCTAATCGCTAAGATAGGGCTCTGGTAGTTATAGTTTATAGTTGAGCTGAAATAATAGGAACTTTCTAGTGATGGTTCTAGCTTCTTTATTGCATGTCTCCTCAAGCCTGATCTCTGCGGCCGGAACTCCGGGCTCGAGCACGGAATGCTGAGCTGCACTGGCTGGTTCTAAGCTCCAAGCCCTAAGGGGAACTCCAGAAAGTTGGAATATGGTTTCAGGGTAGGATACCCTATAATTTACCATACAGGGTTTAGGATAATCATATTCCAACTTTCTGGCTTTTACCTTAGATATAGGATTATTAAGGCCCCTATATTATGGTACCCTTATAGATCCCCTATAGTAACCCTTATAGACCCCTACCTTTAGACCCTAGACCCTAATGCCTATGCAACCGGGCCGGGAGGAGGCATCTGGTTTCTAGTTCTGGGAGTGTTCGCGGAGATAGCAAGTGGCCACTCGACTCCCCGGCTGGAGGTCTGTGGCTTAGGGTTTAGGGTTTAGGGTTTAGGGTTAGTTACACCTAAGTATGGGGTAGGTTGCTTGGGTGAGCGCTGCTTATGCAGATAGGGCAGTGTTTGCGGTCTAGCGTTTGGAGAACACCGAGCCGCGGCAGGGGGAATATAGTGATATGTGTGTGTATATGTATATATATATATATATATATATACATACATATGTTTTTTTTGTAAATCTGGTTCGTGAGTCAAGAGACGTTGGAATCCCAGTATGCCCTGGGGACAATCGAACATGAACCCCAAAGTGTCGTAAGCGCCTTCCACGAAATCTTAAGCTCCAAGTTATCCGCCCCCGACCTTGAAGCCAACACCCCTTGATTTAATTAAGGAATATACCTTAAATAATAGGGGCCTTGATATTATGATTTAAGGTATATTCCTTAATTAAGGGGTATTGGGATCCCTGAGAACTTGAAGCCAACACCCAAAAACCTGCAAACTAGCGGCCACCCGGCTCGAACAGCTTCAATGAAGTACAAATCATTACAAATTCGGTGTAGTCAACAGGTTTCTGAGTTAGGGTTTAGGGTTTAGGGTTTAGGGTTTAGGGTTTAGGGCTGCTGGAGTGTCTGAGTGCGCAATGCTCCGGACTTGGAATCTCTACCTGCGCACCCGAAACCAGAAACCCTAAACCGAGTCGTGGGCCCTAGCCTACCAGCTTTCTCGGGGAGGACGGTGACAGGGCTCTTCATTTCGCTGCATGCCGCAAAGACAGCCCTTGGGACACGGAAGTGGTGCTTGGGAATTTCGGGATTTCTCGTAGGATTTCAGGATTATTTAGGGGTGTAGTGTTGAGGGCTTCAGGCTGAGGGAATTTGTTTTGTGTTTCAATAATATGGGAGTTTCAGAAAATAGGGGACCCTAATATGGTACCCTAAATAGTAGGATCCTTATTATAAGGACCCCAAAACAAGGTACCCCTAATTTTCGGAAACTCCCATATCTTCAGGGTTGCAATGTCAGTGTCAGCTTCATGGCTTAAACCCTAAGCTTTACACCTCAAGCCCTACAGCCTAAACCCTGAATTCTCGATTCTTAGGTTGTACCCAGAGGCTCCATAGTAGTTCCTTTTGGGATTCCTTATAGGATTCTACATATGAGCCCCAAAACAGAACTACTTTGGAGCCTTAGCGTAATCATACCATGTCCGAAACTTTGTACCTTGAGGATCAACTCCCAAAAAGCCTGCGAAATCATCCTAAACCCTAAACCCTCCGAATCCCTAATCCCTCAACCCTAAACCCTCCGAAACCCTAATCCCTCCAACCCTAAACCCTAAACCCTCCTCAACCCTAAACCCTAAACCCTCCTCGACCCTATAAACCCTAAAAGGAGATCTACACAAACCCTTTGTTTTCCTGTGAAGTCAGCCTGTCCGAGGCGACTTTGTTTCGCTGCTGCTGGATGCGAGGGCAGACCCCACGGCAAAGAAGCTTCGTCCGCGGTCCCTTAAGGGGGTCTATATGAGATCCTTACAGGGTTCTATAAGAGATCGGCTTTATAAGGGATCCTTAAAGGGTTCTATTTGTAAGCTTATCTTTTCAGAGGGTTCCTTAAGGGGCTCTATATGAGATCCTTAAAGGGTTCGATAATTCGCGTTTTAACGGATTCCTTAAGGGGCTCTATAAGGGATCCTTAAAGGGTTCTATAAGGAATCTAGAGGCTATCTTTTCAAAGGGTTCCTTAAGGGGCTACAAGAGATCCTTAAAGGGTTCTATAAGGAATCCTTACAGGGCTCTACAAGGGATCCTTAAGGGTTCTATAAGGGTTCTTAAGGGGCTCTACCAGGGATCCCTACGGGTTCTATAAGGGATCTAGAGAGGCTCAGGGTCTACTAGGTTCCTGAGTACTCAGAGATCCCAATACCCCCTAATTAAGGAATATACCTTAAATCATAGTATTAAGGCCCCTATAATTTAAGGTATATTCCTTAATTAAGGGTTATTGGGTTCTCTGAGTAGTACCCTTTTGCCTTGCTATTTTGGGGTCTCCTCATGAATACAAAGAGTAGGAACACAGGTGACCTTATTATAAAGGGGCCACTCCGGAACCTATCTTCAGGCAAGGACGTCTAGGCTTGGCAGAGGTTGCTTGTGAAGTACGGGAGGGTGTGGTTTGGCTGCTTGAAGGGTTAGCAGGGTGGTGGTTGTTGGGTGCGAGGACTGCAAATCACATTGACTTGTTTCCCAGTTGCTCTCATGTGGGTGGTTGTCAAAATAGGGGTCCCTTTATGGGTACCCTAAATATTAAGTGCCGTAATATATTAGGGACCCAAAAAAGGATCATAATTTTGACAACCACCCATGTCCTCCTCCCTCTTTGCCTAATTAGTCGGTGCAGATGTTCAGCCTAAGGAAAAGCCTGGGGCGTGGGGCCTGGGGCCTAGGGTCTGTGGCTTGCACGTTTGTTCAGGGAGGGCTCACCGTTTTGCTTAAAGGCTCATGGGACTTAGTAAGTAAGGTTATAAGTAGGTTATAATTAGGATAACCCCACTTAGGGGACTTATAACCCCAGTTATAACCTACTTACTAAGTCCCAAGATCCTTCAAGTGGAGTTCTCCAATCCCCCAGCCGAACGACTGAAGGTTTGATACTGTCGGGGCCTTAACAATTAAGAACAGGGTTTGGGGCCATATTATACTATACATAAAGTAAGGAGCCCCCATATTGTACTATGGTTATAATCAAGAGCTTTTATATTATACCATAATTATAATAAGGAGCCCCAAAACCCTATTCTAATTATTGAAGACCCCACGTTGGGCAACTCTTCCGGGGCTGAGGAACTGCATGGGCGAGACTGCCATGGACAACGCCTGGAACGAAGATGCGTCCCGCTGGCACATGCCAATGCATGCCTGCCCAGAGATCCAAAGATCCCTTAATTAAGGCATCTACCTTGAAGCATAATATTAAGCCCCCTATTGTCTAATGTATATTCCTTAATTAAGGGGTATTGGGTTCTCTGGGTACATAAAGCCCTGAACTCTTACCCCAAAGGCTCTACGGACTCATACATGAAGGCTCTTGGGCCCGAAGACCATAGTATGCGGTTTTTGCGCCATTTTGAGCCCCAGAATCAAAACTCCTACATCTTGAACTGTAGACCCCTAGCAATCTTTCCCCCCAAAGCCGGATGCCGGCAGCCCTAGACGTCTCTAAGGTTTAGGGTTTAAGGTTTAGGGTTGGGGTCTAGGCCACGGCCAGGAAGTAGGTTGACATCGTTGCAAGAGGATATCTACAAATGTGTGCTGGTACACCTGTTCGTAACTTTTGCATAAAGAAGTAGTGTCTTTGCAAGTCACTCTCGACCTGTATACCTCTGACGTGCCGTTTTGTCCTGTACTATTCCCGATCCCAATGAACCCTTACATTCCCCTAAGCCCGAACACCCAAACGACGCTTCAGCTGGGTTGTTATCCGCTGGGGTCCTGGTGCAAGGAATTGCAAGGATATGGGTTGTGCTAAGCTGCCAAGCTCTGGTCCCTTTATGGAGCCTTTAATCCTGAACCCTAAGAATCCTAGACAAGCAGGGTTCCCGAGCCTCGGATCCTATGTGCGACGAGCTTCGCAGTCACAGTCTTGTGATTGCGGTGTAAGCAGTCCGACATGCGAACCCAGACTCAAAACCCCAATCCCCAACAATCCTTTGACCATCAGCACTTCAGGTACGCGAGATTTTCGACCTGAAGTGGTCAAACGACGGTTGAAGGCACATCTCATCGTGTTATGTCGTGAGTGTTGAAGCTGCAAATCTCCACCCGGCCCAAATATAGGGGTCTGAATAAATACACAAGTATTAATCAGTATCGCCTTCCAGCCCATTTTTACTTATACGGTTATACGCAATATTAAATCCTTATAATAGCCCATATAGTAGCTCTTATAGACCCCTTTTAAAGGAACCCTCCCATTTTTACTTATACGGTTCTACCCCAGATCCTACTCTAGTTATGAGCGCCCCTTTCTCAGACCCGAGCTTCATTTAACACTTTCTTTGCTTGGGCTAGTGGGGAAAAGAAGCGTTATAAGATCCTTAGCGAGGTATGTAAACGCGATCCCCAGTCCTTTACAACTCTCTTTCGTATGATAGATATGTAATGGATATTTGTGTAAACCGGAGGGGCCCATAAGCTGAATGCATGAGATTTCAACATGTGTGCCAGGGTCGCGTTCAGGCCTATAAAATTGCCCAGCGGCTTCGGGTTCAGGGTTCTGGAAATATAAGGGCTTAAATAATTACCAATACTATTTTTGGGGGTTCCTTATCAGTACTAGAGTATAATGGGCCCCAAAACCCCGTTCTAACTATGGCCCCTATATCATAGAGTGTAGGGAGGGCTTGGGAACAGGCTTTAGGATGTACTTGGAGGGTCGGGGGACTTAGTAACTGGTTATTTTAGGGACTTATAAGTACCATAACCCCAATTAGGGTCCCTTTTAGGGTACTTATAAGTCTACTTACCAACTTCTTACTAATTCCCTCGACCCCCCAAGTAGGATGTAGCCATACAAGGTCGAGGGCCAAGGCTCAGCTGCCAAATCCCAAGACCCGAAGCCCCGAAAAACCTTGAGAGCAAGCACCCTCGACCTCTAGCAGGTTGGGGTTTAGGGTTTAGTGTTAGGATGCAGGTGTAGGGTTTCGAGCTTAGAATTTAGAATTTAGGGTTTAGGGTTTAGCATTTAGATTTAGGGTTTAGGGGTTTATGTTGGGGCTTGGAATGTGTGCGAATGCATATTCTGGGTTCCAAAGCTCTGAACCTGAGCACTACAGCCCTGGAAACTCCGCAGCTAAGAGCCCACATATGAAAGTACCCAGATATCACTAAATTCTAAACCCTAAACCCTTAAAAAAAAAACAAAACTGGGCTGTGCTTTCGGAGTGTTTTTAATTTCTGTGGTTTTGCTGGGTCTTGGTATACAACGATTGATTGTATGGTTTGTAGTGTCAAACAACCATAAGTTTGTAGTGTCAAACAACCATAAGCGACGTTAGCTCAAGCTGCCACTCGAAACGAATTGTCAGTGGTAATTTACCACTGACAATTCGCTTCGAGTGTCAGCAAGCTTCTCATGTGAACATCGCCATCACCGTGGATCACCTCGAGTGTCAGCGTGGAGCCCTAGAGTGCAGAGTCATGCTGGTGTTTGCGGCAAGACCCATTCGCCGCTGCGGCAAGACCCATTCGCCGCTAGCAGGGTCAGGGTCTGAGGGTAGCATCTAAGAGAGAGTCATGCGGCATGGACCATTCGCCGCCGAGAGCTAGGATGAGAGTCATGTTCTTATCGTCTGCTAGAGTCAGATGCCATAGGTAGGTCGGCAGAGTGTCATAGCAGTGACTTGCAAGAGCAGTTTGTCAGTGTCAGGTACCACATTGCATCACCGAGGCCAGACCTTCCAGTGTCAAGCGATGGCAGGACACTGAGCGATTGCAGTCAGGGTCATCGCCTGAGAGCGCAGATGCATCCGGAGTGCAGTGTCATTTTGTGCGGCATGACCCATTCGCCGCTAGCAGTGTCAGGGTTTGAGTGTAGCATCTAATCTAAGAAAGAGTCATGCGGCATGGACCATTCGCCGCCGAGAGCTAGGATGAGAGGCATGTTGTTCAATGATTATTTTCGTCGTCGTCTATTTTAATAATTAAATGACATATTTAGTTTAATATTTAAATTTAATTATAATAAATAAATATTATTCAATAAATGATGCCATAGGTATGTCGGCAGAGTGTCATAGCAGTGACTTGCAAGAGCAGTTTTTGTCAGTGTCACATATAACAATAATAATTTCAATTTAATATAATAATTAAACACATTGCATCACCGAGGCCCGACCTTCCAGTGTCAAGCGATGGCAGGACACTGGGCGATAGCAGTCGGGGTCATCGCTTCAGAGTGCAGTGTCATTTTGTTGCGGCATGACCCATTCGCCACTAGCAGTGTCAGGGCTTGAGTGTAGCATCTAAGAGAGAGTCATGCGGCATGGACCATTCGCCGCCGAGAGCTAGGATGAGAGTCATGTTCAGTCATCATCTAAGCTGCTAGAGTCACATGCCAAGAGTGTCACAGCAGTGACTTGCAAGAGCAGTTTGTGAGTGTCACATGCATCACATTGCATCACTGAGGCCAGACATTCCAGTGTCAAGCGATGGCAGGACACCGAGCGATTGCAGTCAGGGTCAGCGCCGGAGAGCACAGAGGCATCCAGGGTGTAGTGTCATGTTGTTGCGGCATGACCCATTCGCCGCTAGCAGTGTCATGGTCTGAGGGTAGCATCTAAAAGAGTCATGCGGCATGGACCATTCGCCGCCGAGAGCTAGGATGAGAGGCATGTTCTTATCATCTATCTGCTAGAGTCAGATGCCATAGGTAGGTCGGCAGAGTGTCATGGCAGTGACTTGCAAGAGCAGTTTTTGTCAGTGTCACATAATATATCACCTTGCATCACCGAGGCCCGACCTTCCAGTGTCAAGCGATGGCAGGACATTGGGCGATTGCAGTCAGGGTCATCGCTTCAGAGTGTAGTGTCATTTGGTTGCGGCATGACCCATTCGCCGCTAGCAGTGTCAGGGTTTGAGTGTAGCATCTAAGAGAGAGTCATGCGGCATGGACCATTCGCTGCCGAGAGCTAGGATGAGAGTCATATTGTTCAATTATCGTCTATTAATCTGCTAGAGTCACGTGCCATAGGTAGGCCGGCAGAGTGTCATAGCAGTGACTTGCAAGAGCAGTTTTGTGAGTGTCACATGTATCACATTGCATCACTGAGGCCAGACCTTCCAGTGTCAAGCGATGGCAGGACACCGAGCGATTGCAGTCAGGGTCAGCGCCTGAGAGCACAGAGGCATCCAGGGTGTAGTGTCATGTTGTTGCGGCATGACCGAATTCGCCGCTAGCAGTGTCATGGTTTGAGGGCAAAATCTAAGAGAGTCATGCGGCATGGACCATTCGCCGCCGAGAGCTAGGATGAGAGTCATGTTCTTATCGTCTATTATTATCTGCTAGAGTCAGATGCCATAGGTAGGTCGGCTGAGTGTCATAGCACTGACTTGCAAGAGTTGTATTATCAGTGTCACATGTATCACATTGCATCACCGAGGCCCGACCTTCCAGTGTCAAGCGATGGCAGGGCACTGGGCGATTGCAGTCAGGGTCATCATCGCTTCAGAGTGCAGTGTCATTTTGTTGCGGCATGACCCATTCGCCGCTAGCAGTGTCAGGGTTTGAGTGTAGCATCTAAGAGAGAGTCATGCGGCATGGACCATTCGCTGCCGAGAGCTAGGATGAGAGTCATATTGTTCAATTAAATTATCGTCTATTAATCTGCTAGAGTCACATGCCATAGGTAGGCCGGCAGAGTGTCATAGCAGTGCCTTGCAAGAGCAGTTTTGTGAGTGTCACATGTATCACATTGCATCACTGAGGCCAGACCTTCCAGTGTCAAGCGATGGCAGGACACCGAGCGATTGCAGTCAGGGTCAGCGCCTGAGAGCACAGAGGCATCCAGGGTGTAGTGTCATGTTGTTGCGGCATGACCCATTCGCCGCTAGCAGTGTCATGGTCTGAGGGTAGCATCTAAAAGAGTCATGCGGCATGGACCATTCGCCGCCGAGAGCTAGGATGAGAGTCATGTTCTTATCATCTATCTGCTAGAGTCAGATGCCATAGGTAGGTCGGCAGAGTGTCATGGCAGTGACTTGCAAGAGCAGTTTTTGTCAGTGTCACATAATATATCACATTGCATCACCGAGGCCCGACCTTCCAGTGTCAAGCGATGGCAGGACATTGGGCGATTGCAGTCAGGGTCATCGCTTCAGAGTGTAGTGTCATTTGGTTGCGGCATGACCCATTCGCCGCTAGCAGTGTCAGGGTTTGAGTGTAGCACCTAAGAGAGAGTCATGCGGCATGGACCATTCGCTGCCGAGAGCTAGGATGAGAGTCATATTGTTCAATTATCGTCTATTAATCTGCTAGAGTCACGTGCCATAGGTAGGCCGGCAGAGTGTCATAGCAGTGACTTGCAAGAGCAGTTTTGTGAGTGTCACATGTATCACATTGCATCACTGAGGCCAGACCTTCCAGTGTCAAGCGATGGCAGGACACCGAGCGATTGCAGTCAGGGTCAGCGCCTGAGAGCACAGAGGCATCCAGGGTGTAGTGTCATGTTGTTGCGGCATGACCGAATTCGCCGCTAGCAGTGTCATGGTTTGAGGGCAAAATCTAAGAGAGTCATGCGGCATGGACCATTCGCCGCCGAGAGCTAGGATGAGAGTCATGTTCTTATCGTCTATTATTATCTGCTAGAGTCAGATGCCATAGGTAGGTCGGCTGAGTGTCATAGCACTGACTTGCAAGAGTTGTATTATCAGTGTCACATGTATCACATTGCATCACCGAGGCCCGACCTTCCAGTGTCAAGCGATGGCAGGGCACTGGGCGATTGCAGTCAGGGTCATCATCGCTTCAGAGTGCAGTGTCATTTTGTTGCGGCATGACCCATTCGCCGCTAGCAGTGTCAGGGTTTGAGTGTAGCATCTAAGAGAGAGTCATGCGGCATGGACCATTCGCTGCCGAGAGCTAGGATGAGAGTCATATTGTTCAATTAAATTATCGTCTATTAATCTGCTAGAGTCACATGCCATAGGTAGGCCGGCAGAGTGTCATAGCAGTGCCTTGCAAGAGCAGTTTTGTGAGTGTCACATGTATCACA